AATTTATATATATATATATATATATATATATATATATATATATATATATATATATATATGTATATATATATATATATATATATATATATATATATATATATATATATATATATAAATAAACAGATGTAGTTGCATATTCATATACGATTCGTGAGTTTGTTGAATGGAAACTAATAAATCGAGTTGCGAAACCGATATATATATATATATAAATATATCTATGTATAATTGAGCATATGAAGCGATCTATCAGTACTGATTACAATGAAAATAATATTAATGATTTAAAATTATAATACTTATAAAAATATTAAATATTACCGCATGGAGTTATAAAAAATGAAAGCTAGCATTAAATTTATCATATAAACATTACACAATAGTTACAACAACAAAAATTGCTCTTTAACATTGAAATCAACAAAAGCAAGCAAATAAAACAAAATTTAAAAAAAATAAATAAATAAAAAAAAAAAACAGAAATACAAATTAAAATATTTATTCGTGTTTGTTTTTTGTTTCATTTTGAATAAGTTACTTTGTCTAATTGTTTAAACAACTGGAGGATGGCGTAGCAACAGTAAATTCCTAGACACCGCATGTAAGAGCTGAACTATGATAGCTATCATCTGTACAACAAAGACTGATTAAATATATTACAGATGCTTGGAAAGTTTTGGGGAATATGTACAAACACAGCTGTAAACACGGCTTAAATAATTACACTTTCGTAAACAAGGTGCGATTGATTGTTCTATGCAGATGCCTAAGAAATCTTGGGCTATATAAGCTCGAGATCGCAAGCTTGGATAAGTTAGTTCTTAACAACATGTTGCGATTTGTCATACTTTGCCTTGCTTTGACCGTGGTCCATGTGGCCAGCCAGACCACTCCTTGCCTAAACGGAGTAAGTGCAGCAGCTAAGTCTTTACTTAGCTCTGGGCAATCAACTAACTTATTTCTTTCTAGACTTGGGCTAGCGCCTGTCCTACTAGTCCTGCGCCCTATCTGGTCAACATGGACTTGGAGCTCCGCAACTTCATAGTGGCCGCCCACAATGCTCGTCGCAATCGTCTGGCTCTGGGTCAGCTGCCTGGCTATCAGTCGGCACGTCGCATGGCTTTCGTGCGCTGGAACGCTGACCTGGCCAGCCGCGCCGAGCTGAATGTGAAGCAGTGCGTTCGCAAGAGGGATGACTGCCACGGTACGGCACGGTTCCCCAATAGTGGCCAGAATATCGCTTACTTTGCCTATGATCCGGCTCAAACGGGCCAAAGGACGGATCAGTATCTGATGAGGCAGGCCATTACCAACTGGTGGTTGGAGTACAATAATGCCAATATGGGAATCATCAATAGTTTTCCCCACACCTGGGCTGGCCAGTAAGTGTATCGCAAGAGCTTAAAAAGCGAGCAACATCCATTTATGAGCTCTTTTTCTTTTTTGTCTGTCCTTCTCCAGGTCGATTAGTCGCTTTACTGTGATGGCTCAGGAGCGCAATCTTGCCGTGGGCTGTGCCGCTTCCCGTTTCGTGAAGAATAATAAGAACCACTTCCTCGTCGCCTGCAACTATGCAGTCAAGAATACTGTCGGCAGTCCTGTGTACGTGACGGGTCCGGCGGGCAGTGGCTGCCAGACAGGCGTCAACATCGACTATCATGGCCTCTGCAAGTTCGCCGAGAATTACAACATATAAAACTATCCATATGTCTTATAAATAAGTAAAAAAATTTGAACATTTAATGCAGACGTCTTTCATTCAAGTCTATTATAAGTTATAACAAATGAAATTGGTTCCAATACCACTCCGAGATTTCAGTCTTGTATTCCATAGAGCCACTACCTTGTCATGGCAAGACAGATCCCTGACGTACAATGAGACAAATATAAATTACACTTAGAGCCATACTGCCCTATACGACCCTATATGACCCCAGCCTAGGACACCTGCTCCGTTTGACAGTTGTAAACCAGAGGCGTTGCTCGGAGCAACGCAGGGGGAACGCAACGAAACGAAACAATCCGGTTGGCATAGTGAAACAGTTAGTTTTGCTTTTCGAATATGAAATTCAATTTAGTCAACTCTCAGCTGGATATAGCACTGTATACTACAGCATATCCGGCTCTGTATACTCACATACTTCCAAAATGGGCGACACCGCCAATAAAACAGATGACATGAAGAGCACATCGCTCGACGAGTTCAAGCTGGAGGCCATGCGCTCCATGGGATGGGCCGTCGAGGCGGACATACCCATGGCGAATGCCGAGAATCTGGCCATCCTCGAGGAGATGGTGGGCATGCGGGCAGAGAAGTTCAATCTGCAGCAGCGCATCGCAAATCTGGAGGAGCGCGAAAAGACAATCGAGCGGCACAAGAAAAATATTGAGGCTACGCTGCAGCAGAATATTGTAAGTGTTGAGGGCGCGTCATCTTGAGTCTGGGCAACGGTTAATTCTTATCTGATTCCTATGCCAGAACTTCTTCAATTCGGTGAAGAACGATGTGCTGAAGGAGGCGCATCGCACGCAGCTGGTGATCCTGGAGCGCAACAAGCTCAAGGAGGACTTGCGCAAGAATCAAAAGGAGTTGTCAGAATACACGGAATTCGCGGAGCACACACTGCGTAAGTGGAAGAGAAGAGATCTACAGATAAGAGGTAACATCTATTCTCAATGGAATTATAGGTAAAATTAATAAAAGCAAGCGCGAGATCGATGATCTGACCAAGCGCATCAAGGCGGCCAAGTCGAGCCTGGTCGAGTGGGCCGAGGCCATGGAGGATGGCAACAAGGGCTACCAGCTGATCGACAAATACTACCAGGACGATCAGCAGCGGGCAAAGGAGCTGAACACGCGTCGCCAGCTGCTGCAGGCGGAGATCGAGAAGCGTCGCAGCGCGGTCGTCATGCTCTACGATGAGCAGAGCACGCTGGAGAAGAATCTGGAGCGCACGGCTAGCTTGTATAGGGAGGCGCATCTGGAGAGACGCCAAATGGTGGATACATGGAAGCAGGCGGTCAATCAGATGACACAGCGCGAACAGGATATACAAGCCGGCGAGGAGGAGTGCATTAGGCTGACGGAGCAGGCTGAGGTGATGGCCAATGCATATTTCAGGGCCAATGAGCAGCTGAACGATGTCCTGGAGAATAATCGGCTGGTCGAGCAAAGCATCGAGATATTGAACTCGGAGACATCCGATGCCAAGAATGAGATACAGCGCCTGGTCGATACCTCGACTCTGAAGGAGCGCGAGATCCTAGCGCTGCGCCACGAACTGGAGAATCTGTCCAACCAGGTGCATGCTCAGCGTCTGGAAAATCGCAAGCTGATCAAGCAACGGGATGAGAAGCTTGTCGAGATTGAGAACTTCGCCACGACGCTGAAGAAAATTGAGGATCGCCTGAAGGCGATCGAGGACAAGCACACCGATGCCAATCAGCGACTCCAAATCCTCGACGAGATGATGGAGGGCGAAGAGGAGGCGCTCAAGTTACTGAACAAAGAGCAGCAGCGCTGCAACGAGCTGCTCTACCGCACCCAGCGCCAGATAAACGAGCTGAAGGATGAGGAGACCACGATCATGGTGCAGAATGGAGCCCTGCAGTCCACGCTGCTTGCCGTCACCCGTAGCCAGCGGCAGGTGGAGGCGGAGATAAAGCGCCAGACGGAAATACACTACGACATGTCCTTCAAGTACTTGCAGTGCGAGCGCAAGCTAGCCGACCTGCGAGGCAAAAACGCAGACCCGGAGACGGAGGCACGCAACCAGAAGATTCTCTCTGAACTGGAGCAGTATCTGGCCAAGCTGCAGCGTCGTCTGGCCTCCACGGAGGCGCAAAACAAGAAGCTCAACTATAGCATGAATGCCCTGGTCGGGGTCTATAACAACGATGCCAAGGATCTGGAGCTGGTCAAGTTCAAGATCAAGGAGGCGCAGGTCTACTGCGAGGGCACCATCAAGCGCCTCCGCATGAATCGCTACGAAAACTCCGAGCTCGTGGTGGAACTGAGTGTGCTCAAGATGCGCTGCTGCGACATCCAGAATGTGATCGACAACTGCGAGAAGGGCACCTACAGCCTGAATCAGCATCGGCTGGCCTTCCAGCGCATCATCAAGGATCGCTTTGTGGAGCTGCAAAGTCAGCGGGATATTTTGCTACTGAAGCGAAAACATCTCAACGAGGAACTGAGCACGCTTCGCGCCGATCTTGGAGAGCGCAAGAAGCACATCAACGTGCTGCGTGCCCGCTTCGAGTTGACATCGGCGCTGCTGGGCGTCAACGAGGATGGCACCATAATCACGGCCACCCAGCTGAAAGTGGAAAATGCCCAGGAGCGACAGCTGCTCGCCGACGAGGGAGACGAACTCAACAAAAAGGTGATCAAGGCGGAGAAGGAGGTGATTGCCCTGGAGAATACGCTGCGCCAATTCGACAAGTCCAACGACAACTACCGCAAGAATCTAAAAAGTTTCGATGACAGCTCAAAAGGTTTGTCTTTCCATTCCACTTGAATATGAAATGGGACAACTCTCTGATTTGATTTGCCCTCTTTGCAGACGAACAGCGCGCTGAGGAGGAGTTGAGGAAGGTGCAGGAGGCCTATTGCAAGCAGCTGGAGCAGCTGAAGGTGCTGCGCTGCAAGGCCGAGGCATACGACAATAAGATTGAGCGGCAGCAACAGGAAATCGATAAACTAATGGATGACATCGAAACGGAAAAACAAAAGTGCATAGACGATGCGGAAACGTTGCGCAAACTGAAGAGAGAGCTGCACGAGCAAAAGGCGAAAATCGAGCGAGCCAATCGCGAGATACAAACGCTGCTCAAGGAAATCAAACAGCAGGCCATAAGCGAAGATTTTCTGTCGCTATTCGAGCGCGACCTCAATCTGCAGGAGCTGGAGAATCGCAACAGAAAGGTATTAAATCTATTGTGTGACATGACCAATACCGATCCGGATGGGGCTCGCATAATAACCTATATGCTGGACAAAGGGATTAAGCTGCCACAGCATTTGAAGCCCGTGCGCAGTTGTGCGTTCTCCAGGACATCGTCGTACTCCTCGGTGGATTGCTATTCCGTCAAAGGTGCGTATTATATTGAACATAAAAGACTTTGACAGACTACTGTACTTTCCCCACAGGTTATAGCGCACGTTCCTCCACCTCAGAGGCGAGCCTGGGCAAGGAGGAGCCCAGCTCGGCGAAGCTTAGCGTCGTCTCCCTGGATTTTCCGACGAAAAAGAAAAAGTGATGCTCCACAAATTTCTCAATTTTCTTCTAGTTGTACTATTACTATTCCCCCACTCTCCGCACGTGCTTTGGCCAATGAACTGTTTACAAATCGGACAGCCAAAGAGAAACAAGAATAAACGGCACAGCGAATGAGAAAACACGAAGAGATACAAAAATAGAGCACAGCAAAGCACTGACCAAATATCAACAAGAATCAAGAGAGCAGCACATACATATAGGCATTACTATATACACATACATATATAGTATATAGGTATACTTGTTTATAAATAGAGTTTGATTTCACACAGCTACCAGATACCCTTGACTGAGAGCTTTTACGCAAAAGCTGGCTACGAGAATACTCTTAGCTCGCCTGTAAGCCCTTTTTAACTGGATGCTCGGATCAAAAAATATATCATATGCGGCAGTAGCTAAGATATTTGAATTCATTAAATGTTCAACAAGCAAGCAAACAAATTTTGATTTCCTGTTCTTTAAAAATACATTTTTAGTGGAAATTTGTAACAGTATAGAAAGCGCTATTTAGTTCTCTAGGTGCATATGTAGGTATAAAGATAGATTAGACTAATAAGCGGGCAATTAGCAGTCTAAAACAACAGCGAATATTATCCAAAAATATTTCGATATAGATTATATTATAAATTAAACTCAATTAACATTAAAGATAGCTTTATAGCTATTATTATTAATCTTTAGTATTTTCCCTTTTGCAAGTCTAGCCTTCACTTGGCTATGACCCATTTAGAAAGTGTTCAATTTTCTTTTGAAATATGCATATAGTAAATCTATATATACATATGTATGTATGTATAATCTGTAGACTATGCCCAGCAGCTGCCCCAATGCGATCCATTTAAATGACAAGATCAAAACAAAGAGCCAAGAGCTCTATACTACTAAATACGCCCACTGGCTGACGAGTCGTTCGCTGTTCGCTGTTACCAAAAAACAGCTCGAAGAGGAAGCAGCGGACAGCTGTCTGCGGGCCACCTTTCGGAGCTGTTCGGCTCGCAGTTTTCGAACAATTTTCAATTCTCGCCGGCCTGGGAGCGCAATATTTTTCATTATTTTCGATATCGCCCAGACGAACGTCGTCGTCGTCGCCATCGGCACAACAATTTTTCTTTCAATATTTGTTCGTTGCAAGTATTTTTAGAAAATATCTCAATAGGCAAAAGCAGAAAATAATCTTTTCAGGTTTTTGTCGGTCAGCGCAATGGTCGAGGATTTGTTTGCCTATTGAGAAGATATTCCTAGTTTCGAATTGTGTGAAAAGTGTTTCAGGCATGTGCTCCATGTCCGTGTTGTGTCCACTGTGCGCGGTGCCGAGTTTCAGTAGCATCGACGCACTGCAGCAGCGTCTAATCAAGGCGGCCAATGGCCCTCTGGCCTGTCCCTTTCCCAACTGTAAGGAGCTCTTTCTGGGTCTGGACAAGCTGACCATACATCTATTTAGTCACACCAGCCTGATGAGCCAGCCCGCGGCTGACCCAGCTCCAATTGCAGCTCCTGCTGCAGTTGTAGTGCCCCCAACCGTTCAACCCACTCCAGTGGCAGCAGAGGCAGCTTTGGCTGTGCTCCCTCCGACTAATAGTCCTGCTGCAGCTAGTCCGCCTCCTGCTGCGGCAGTTCTTAAGCGACGTGGCAAAAAGTCGCGTGCCAAACCCATCGAGCTGGTGCCCCCGATGCCTTCTACGCCTCCTGCCAGATGTGACATTTGCGAGTTTAACTTTCGCAACGAGGAACTGCGAGACATTCACTTCCGACTGGTGCATGAGAATGCGGAGATTACAGAGCCAGCGCTGGGACATCAGCAGGAGCCCTACAAATGTCACCTGTGCTCCAAGACGTTCCGCATGAAGGGTTCCTTGCGTGTGCATCTCAAGGTGTTGCACACGGTCGGCGCCATCACGAGTGCCACCAGCAGCAGTCCGAGCAACAACAGCATCAACAACTGCAGCAACAGCAATCTGAGCAACAATGCGAGCAATAGCAATGGCCACATCATTAGTGCCACGCCCAAAATCAGCATTTGCGATCGCATTCGGCACAAGGAGGCATCGTCCACCAATGGCAGCAGCGCCTCCACTGCGAACAGCAACACCCAGCCGTATGCTCTGAGTGGCGCCATCTACATGCTCAAGCAGGAGCTGCCCGCTGCTGCGGAGACGGCATCTGGTTCAGAGTACGGCAGCACGCCCAAAAACTGGGAGTGCGACGTGTGCACCAAAATGTTCACCACCAAGTATTTCCTGAAGAAGCACAAGCGTCTGCACACGGGCGAGATGCCCTACACCTGCCAGTACTGCGCCAGAACCTTCACCTTCCAGCAATCCTATCACAAGCATTTACTCTACCACAGCGAGGTGAAGCCGCACGCCTGCGGCATCTGTGGTCGCGCCTTCAAGGAGCTCTCAACGCTGCACAACCATCAGCGCATCCACAGTGGAGAGAAGCCATTCAAGTGCGAGGTCTGCGGTACGTTAAGCCTAGATTTGCGAATACTTTCTACATACAATGCATATGTATTATATATATATGTATGTACTTAGATCTTAAATTGGAATCTAGTATATACCCATTTCTATGGGTATCGACCTGAACTAGTTTGGACTACTTACTCTGAATATGATTCCAAAACTCTAGGATATTTAATACTAAACATTGCACCAGCTCATGCTAAACTCTTCCACACAGGTAAATGCTTTCGGCAACGTGTCTCCTTCCTGGTGCACACACGCATCCACACGGGAGTCATGCCCTACAAGTGCGAGCTGTGCAAGAAGACATTTCGCTATAAGGTCTCGCTGCGAACACACAAATGTGAGCCACAGACTCCGGAGCAGCTGATCAAGGCGCTGCTGGACTCCAATGTGAGTGCGGCCACTGTGCAGGCCGAGCACACAGCGAGCAATGCGGCCATTCACATGAATGGCACCACCGATCAGGAGGCGTTGCTCTCGCAAACAATTGATGACATTGTCGTGGAGAGCTGCCAGAAGCTGGGTATTTGCAGTGTGGAGCCGCCGCAGCAACCACAGCCGGTTGTTATGGACAGTGGCGTGCAGTTTGATGGCAGCGGCTCCCCGCTGCAGCAGCTGCAGAATTTGCGGCTCTACTCGCCGCAGCAAACAGAGCCATCCAGTTCGGATGGTGAGCTGTTCCGTAACTTCCTCATGGACGCCACGTAATTGTGTTCCAATTTCATTTGTTTGTTTATTTTTGTGTATTCTTCGTAAATTACATGCAGAAAAAGATTCTGTTCAGTTTTATTCCTCCTCGGAGCCGCTGCCAGAGCTGGAGCCCGAGCCACTTGGCGAGCCGCTGCGCGAACGGCTTGGCGAGCGAGAGCCTGATCCAGAACGTGATCCTGATGCACTGCGACTGCGACTACGACTGGGTGACTTTGATTTGGATTTCGACTTTGATTTGGATCGACTCTGACTACGACTGCGACTGCGACTGCGACTGCCGGACTTTTGGGAGCCGGCTGGTGTTTGGGAGCGTGAACGTGAGCCGCTTGGTGATCGGGATCCTGATTTGGAATGACTACTGGCACGTGAGCCAGAGCCACTCACTGAGCTTGAGCGACTGCGACTGCGCGAACCGCTGGCTGCGCTGCCACTGCCACTGCCGCTACCAGCGCTGCGGCTACGCGTGCGAGAACGACTGCCGCCGGAGCGAGTTCTGGAGCGCGATTGCCGTTCTCGTTGCTCTTGTGCATCCGGCACAGGTGTCTGGTTGCCAGCAGCTGCCTCGTCAGGAGAAGTTTTTGATTTGGCAGCGGTGTCTGCTGCTGCCTTTTCCTCCTCAGCTGCAGGCTGGGTTGCGGATTGTTCTTCTGTTTCCATTTGATTGTCTTCCTCCTCCTCCTCTTCATCTTCACCAGGAACCTCCAGCTGGCGCTCCCGATAGCGTTGCATACGATGCTCAATGGCATCCAGTGGACGATGCTTAACCACCTATCACACCAAATTGGGATTACTAATGAATTCATATAAAATTCTAAAATACGCACCAATTTCGTGTTGTTCGGCTGCTGGCCAACCTTCACGCGACGCTTGTTGAGACGCACACGTGTTTCCAACTCGTTGTAGTAGATGCCATCTTGTCGCATGACAAAGAAGTAGTTTTCTTCATAGCCCTTGGATGCTTTTGTCTTGACATTCCAATTATATTCTCGAGCAATTCTATATTCATACTCCTCATCGTCCTTGTAGAGTTGGCCGGCCACAAAATCTGCGCGACGTTTTTCCAACGTTGTCTCTGTGGGCAGAAAGTAGGCAACAAACTGTTCTCCGCTCTCGTCCATCACACCTCGAATCATGGCCTGCGACATCTCCTCCAGCTGGGCGGGCACATTTTTGCCCTGTGGTGCAGGATCGCTGTCGAAAATGACTTGAGCACATGGATACTTCCAATTGGTAAAATCGGGGAATATGGGTAACACCTCCACCGGCACCACATTCGGTTTGGAGTAGTGCTTGGTAATTTCGTTCTTAGTATCACTGAACGTCTTCTCAATGGCCTTGATTTGTGCATCCCGATCCAAATAAAGGGTCTCTTCACGCAGAGATTTTTTCACATTGTAGCCCACCTTGGCCTCAATATTCTCCAGATTTTGTGGCTGGAAGCGCGTTTGCTCAGTCGAAATATACTCGGATTTGCGCAACCAGGATACAGTGCGAGAGTGCTGTCGCGACCGTACTGAATCTGTCGGCGTCAATGTCTCCTCCTCTAGTAGTTTTTCATCAGCCGGATCCAATTGGGACATGGGATCGGCCTGGTAGAGCTCCCGATTGATAAGATCTACTGTCACCCCCAGGTCGTGTTCAGTCAGTACATCGTATTTGAAATTACGTTCCAGCGACGTTGGATTATACTGCACAAATCGATTGCTATCGAAGGGATATTGCAGGAACTTCAGATCGAAGGGTATATCCGGTAGATTATTGCCATATTTAACGCGGCAAATTATTTCGGATCTAGGCATAGTAAAGCCAGATAAGCAGGTTAGATATATGCGTTGGCAAAAGTAAAATATTAATAGAGTACTTACTTGCGTTCTGTTTGCCGTGGTGGTCGCTTATCAGTGGCGCTATTAACGGCCGAATTGTTTATAGTCGGCGGCATTTCTATACTTTAAAATTAATAAATTTGATACATTTGTAGATAAGTTAGACGCGAATTATTAAAGTGTGACCGTAACTTATAGTGTAACAGTGGTGCATTTATGATTTGTTCGTGGTGGCAAGCCGATAACTTTTACTGTATGTCAGAAAGCTCACAGCTATGACATGTAAACTTAAATTTGATGTGCTTTCCTGCAAATGCAAGTATAATGAAATTAATTAGTTTTGGTACATTCGACGACATTACTAGCTTAAGTCTTTGTGTTTGACATACATATATATTCTAATGTCAAGCGAATCTAATAGAAATGATGCGATGCTAGATAAGCAGCTAAGCGTCATTTGATATTAAGAGTTGAATATGGCTAGAGGTCGATTATATATTGTTTATTTTATCAGCATTTTTGCTGTTACGCTGCAACGCCATATTCGTTGCAAGCCCCCAAAATCATTGGACGTGGATATAGGGGGAGGTGAAAAGTATCTCAGAAATTCTGATATCAATGAATATACCGCTACCACTGAAGAAACTGATCTCACTGAAACAACTGATCTCGATATAGAAACTGATCTCACTGAAACAACTGATCTCAGTGAAAGCACAACGCCTAAGTCTCGCAGGCCGCGCAAGCCGCGGATACCTAAGCAAAAAACCTTTATAAGGAATCCCAACTATATCGGTAAGCCTATATCTTCATTGCCCTATAATCAATTAACTACAACATTTAATTTTCAGCTATCAACAAGAAGTTAGATAAGTTAGCAAAAAATATGTATATTATGGAATTGCCTTTACCGGCACCGGGCGCCATGGGAGGCAGCTCTCGAGGCTGCACTCAATATGAGATTATAGAAGATTAGTAAAGATCTCAACGTAGCGGGTGACAAACTAAATGAAGACACGAAATTTCTATCGAGTTGGCCATTAAAAGAAAACTGAGGCAAATAAAAACCATTTACGCAATAAATTCAATTGCTAAACAATTCCTTTGTAATATGCAAATAAATATTTGAATTCAAATCTGTGATGAGTTTTCATATATGTAAGTCAGTCCATTAAAAGTTTACAAATTTAGATTATACTGCTAAAATATGCGAAACAGCAATTAGACATGTATTGAGGATATCTTCTAGTCGAGCAGACTTTTAGTAATTCGTGTTAAATGTGATAACAAATTCATTGAATATAATTTATATGCAAATACATATATGTACATACAACTGTATGTACACATATTATAATCATAATTATAATTCCTCGAATCGATCGATATTCCTGCCTGATATGAACGTTATCCATTTTGGCTGACACACATGCAAAAAGATGATATGTGAAATGCACATGCGAATTGGAAAGTTAAATAAACACAATCAAATTGATGAAATTAGCGACAAAAAAATGTTATTTATTTATTTTTTTATTTTTTTTTGGTAAAACATTGTCACCTGTCGTGTTGCTGCTGTTGTTGTTGTTGATGATGTTGTCGCATTTAATAGGCCTCACTTAGTTGGAAGCTGCGAAAAAACAGCGTAAGCAAATCTCAACAAGCAAAAAAAAAAAACAGTCTACAGCGAGTTCAATAACAAGGTTAAACGCACGATATCAATTCTTCCCTTACCTCCCAACTCCCAAATATTTCCAGAATCTCCATGTGTCGCCTTTGTTTTCGCTTAACGTCTCTTGCTGGCAATATGAAATCGCAACAAGTAATTAGCATAAGTTTGATAGCATTGTGTGTATTTGTTAAGTTATGAAAAACATCTTAAAAATTCTAGAGCTCATCTAAAAGCCTATCAAGATTTATAGCTTATTCTATATCTATATCTAGTCAAAGCAGGTTTGTTAAGGATTTTGTTGAAATTAATGTAACAGCCACAAGAAGACTTTTCAGACTTCGTAAAATCCTGATGACATTTATAAATTACAAATATATCCAATCTATTGTATAAATTGGTTTGCGTTTTTTCTAAAATGACAAATATTCAAAGGATTAAGTTGATCATATACTATAAATTTAATATAAATAAGTTACGTACAGGGAAGCTATTAAGCAAATGGGATGTAAACAAAAGAAAGTTTGCTCCGGTTATTGAAGACGTAATCCCGTTGGCTAGTATTACATATTTAGTTAGTTTATATATATACATTTACTTAGCAGAGTTTTAATAAGATTAGCTCAATCTTTACAAAAATAAGATAAGATGAAATAAATTAAAACAGCTCTACTTTTCCATGATATTCGCACATATTTTTATTCGCTATCTAATTAAATCATAAACGTTATAATCAATCTATTTTCTAATGCTAACAGCTTTTCGAGAAAGGAAATAAATGACAATTAATTTGTCTATACAAATCAGGAAAATATAAAAATATCATTAAAGTTATCAAAAGGTATTAATCGATGGCGACATAAAAGTTGTATGATCCACATTTAAAAGGATCTGATTAGTCTCGGCTTAAAAAACAGAAAAACGTGTTAAGTGCAGCACGGCAACTGCTCGTGCCAAATGAACGTGACACAATTTTTAATATTTTTTGGCCAAAAACGAGTTTGAACTTCGTTTGTAATTAGTTATTAAATGTTAATTAAATGCATCATATGATTATTTGTATACTCTACAGCTATTAAAAAAGGGGAAATCAGGGTATAATGTTGTTTTTTTTAAGAGTTTAAGAGCTAGACTATCCTAATTTATAATATAGTTGCATGTTTAAAATTTAAGTTAACTTTAAAAAATAGACAATTGGTAAATAAGTTTGCATTACTTTTAACATTCCAATATTCCATAAAATGTGACGATTGTATGGGGAAATAATAATAATAATAATAATAATACTTGAAACATTTTGACAATTTGGAAAGGTGGCACTGAAAAGCGTCTCATGACTGTGAAAAAAGGAAATACACAAATAATTCAGGATTCAGGGTATATCCTAATCCAACCTAGAACATTCCTTTTCTTCTTTGCACAATAAAAATGAAATGAGTTTAATAAATGAATAAGAGGAAGATATGCAAAGTGACACAAACCGGTTAATTTGTTATAGGGTAATCAGTAAAATGGATTAGTTAAACTAATTGTAACTAAGCAAAATGGCAATGTGCAAATGAATAGAACATGCAGAGCGTGCGTTAAGTAAAAATTTCCACGCTCGTTACCCGTTGAGGCGCTACTACTGCTCTTCCTCTTCTGCAGCTCGTATTAACGTGTCGTCGTGAGTCTTTGTTTGTTATCGGCAACTGCGTCATCGGTTAACCGTTCGCACATCGCCAATCGGAAGCCGACGTCGATGATCGTTGATTGCCGATTGTGTCTAGGTCGGTGGTGCTGCTCTCTTTTCGCTTATCACACAGACATTTTTCTCGCTCGTTTGGCGCGCGACCTCAGTTCGCGCGTTGAGCTCAGTTTCAAAAACGGTTTTCGTTTCGCAACAAGCGCTAAATTCTAAAAGCAAATAAGCGCTCTGTTTTTGCAGCTCGCGATTCGCAGTTCTTTTGATTCGTTGTTTATTAGCATAAATATTTACTTAATATATAAATACAGTTATCATATATTTCTTTTGTTGCCATTTGGCGACATTGTGCTCACGTGTGTGCGTCTGTGTGTGCGTCTGTGTGTGTGTGTAGAAACTACTAGAGCTTGAGTTTTGGCACTTTGAATGAAGTGTGAAGAAAACAAGCGAAACGGTACTGCAATCAGTATCCGTTTTATGCTCGCTGCGAACGGACGAGGATCGTATGAAGTGAATCAAAATAGAGATAAAGGATATTGTTCACACAAGCGCCATCTAGCGAATAATCCTTATAAAGTGCTCATCTAGTGTCTCGGTGAATACAAAGAAATATGATACCAAGAATAGCCAACAGATCCTGACTGTATATCAGTGATTCTCAAACAAATAAATAGGTAAGTTCTGAATAAATTTTAAGACAAACCGTGATAGAATTAATGATTGCCTGATTGCAATCAAGTTCTTGATTATATAAGGCTAATAATATAATTGTAATAAATACTTAGAATACAAGATAATTCACAGATTATGCAAATAGGACAGCCATTTCTTTGGAAATATCATTCCTTAGTCATTCGAAATGTGTTGCCTAACCATTGATTTACATACACGAAAAACATTAGGAAAACCCATGATAATATTTTATAAATAAACCTGAAAATATGCTTAGAGATTTCCATAAATCAAACGGTGTCTCCTAAATTGAACGTATAATTATTATTATTTGCTTAAAACGAAGCGTTTATGATCCTGCTTAATTAGGTAAAAATCGGATAATGCATTTAATATAGCGTAAATATACATATTTCGCGGTTTGCCGCAATATGTTTATTGAAAAGCAATCAATGCTGTGATTTATTGCAATTAAAATTATTTATTTAGCTAGCTCAAAATCTGTCTGTGTCTAGTTTGCTATGCAATCTTTGAGTTAATTATTGGAGCGTTCTCTGTGTGTGTGGGAAATCACAGAGTTCGGGGGAATATACAAATAAATATATATATAACTATCTATGTATATATACTTGTATTGGCACGAGCGTCGCACGATTTACACATGACGCGGCGCAATGAGGCGCAAAGCCAATGAATTATGCATAAAATGAATTAAAGAAAAGTTTTTTTTTTAACAAGATCAGATAATTAAGAAATGTGAAATATCAAACGGGTTTGGCGCCTTTTTAAGGGGTCACTAACTGGAGGAAAACAAGCTATTTTAAGGAATTACTCAGCGAGCTTTAGATCGATGCATTAGGCTAAGCTTAAGCAAATGCTACTTCGAAAAGCACCGTGTTTTCCATTAAACATTAAGTATTTAGTACTAGGTACTTAGTAATGGGCAGGCACGTGACAGGTTTCCCCCATTAATACACAAATGCATCCATGATCGAACCCTAGATGTACATCCATAGACATATACATATGTATATGACTAATGGCAATACACCTACGTCATGTGCATGAACTTTTTAACCGTACTGCAACAAGTTCGTACAAAATGCCACACGGCTTTGGCATTTGATTGCCGTTGGCTCAGTTGGTTTTAATGAGTGACTAATTGCAGCAGCATAGAATTAAGCTCAGCTACTTTATATATGTATAAGTTACACACGATTATAATTTGATTCGTTCGGATTAATGGGAAAATGGCTTAGATTAATTTACATTTTTTATGGTGCACAGTTATTGTTGTGTTTACCTTTCCACTTAACATGCAAATTATGCAATCGCAAAGATGATGAAAAAAATAAAACATATACATTCATATTATGTATGCATATATATTTAATCTTGCTCATGCAGAACCCAATGTTAATGAACAAATGGAATATTAAAGCTCACATTGTGGGAAATCCAGTGCAACAACAGTTGCCATTTGAAAGTTGAAAGAACTCGTTAGACAATCGATTAAGTGAAATTGCATAATATTATATTGACAGACTCTTTTTAATTAAATAATTTACTTTTAACTAAGATATTAACTGTCAGAACAAGAATAGAGTTGTAGGAAAAACCAGAGTAAAATATATAAATTAAGCGAATCTATCTAATTAAAAAGATAAGCAATAAAAGGTTTGATTAACAAACAAATTTGCAGCATCAATGATTAGAATGATTATAAATAATAATAATACGACAACTGTCTGTCTCTCTATGACATCCTGAAACTTTCATCAATTTGAGACAGGTGGCAAATTAAGCTTAGAATGAAGCTAACTGCTTTGGCAAACAAGAGTGTAACACATGTGTCTGCGAACGTGCTATGCTCATAAACATATAGATCAATAAATAAATAATATAAATATGTATATGTGTATGTATATATTACCGATTCTCGATAAAGCTTTGACTTATGACAGCTGCTGCTGCTGCTGCTGCTGCTGCCTTTGCCTGTGATAATTGCTAAAACCAAAAAACGAAAATTAGAAAAAAAAGCAAATAAAATATTTAAAAAGAATTAAAATAAATAAATGCTTGTCGGGCAAGACTAAACAAATATACAAGCTGACACTTGAACGAAAGCAACATTGAAAAGGAAAAGCAACAACAACAACAGCAAATAACAACAACAAATAACAAAACAAGCGAACACTTAAGCAAACGAAACGAACTGAAACGAAATGAAAGAGCGAAAGAGGCGAATCAAACATATTGCTGGCTGACAGGGCGTATGAGCGTTTTTATAAGCAGTGTATGCATTGGGTACTACGATTCTATTAAACTAAACGAGCATGTGTGACCTTATAAGAATATACTATACAATATATATCAGGTCATATATCTGAATATCTTTTAAGTCCCTATGCATGCAACATTTCCGGAATATGAGGTAGAGGAGATCTAACTTCTAGCAGCTTCTTAATTCTTAAGTAAATATTAATATATATCACATGTGATACAATTGTGTGCAAAAGGTATTCATTTGTCGGCGAGTTGCCTTGGTTTTTTTAAAGTTTTTTTTTTTGTCTTTTTGGCAAGCATTGTGTAGACGTAAATTGTGTGCGTGTGCTTGTGTGCGTGTGCTTGTGTGTGTGTGTGTGGCTGTGTGTGTCAGTAGTTTTGGCAGAAACTAAATCAAGTACAACATAACGTCATGAATTGGCCAATAGACTCTCTCCCTGCTATCGCCCGCCGCCTGCCTCCCATCGCCCGCCGCTCTCTGCACTGTGCTTGTGGCTAAGTAAACTTGAACTTGACTTTGAGCCACCAGACGGAAGCGGTTGCCGAGTGCATCATGCAGAAAGATTTGTGATGCTATGATGCTGGCGTTGATCTTGCCTTCTTGCTTCTGCTGCTATTGGGGGCCTGCTATAAATACCATAGGAGACAAGTGCCGTTGCTCTTGCTTCCTTTTGAGCGGCACTAGCGGAACTCGAGACACAAACACTTTGCCACTCAGCAAACGAACGAAAAAAAAAAGAAAATAAAATAGGAAGATGAAGAGGCAAATCCAACAAAACTAAAAAAGCAGCCAAGAATTGTTCGCTGTTCGGCCCTTGCCTCAACCTCAGTGCGAGCGCAGCGATTCGTCTGTGCTGTGATTACAATTGTTGCTCATCTAATTCATTTCTAATAATTGAAATAAATTCACTTGGCAGAGCTGCGATGCTGCAGCTCAACGTGTGCGATATAAAAAACACCAAAATGCCTGTGATTATATAAAGTGCAACAAAAAAAGCAAACCGTAAAAAAGTCAATTGAAAAATAAAAAAGCGAAAAGAAAAATTACACAATCATTGTGAATATTTGTTGAATATTCAAAGTTATTTATTATTGATCGATGCAAAAAAAGTAACAGCTCAGCATGAGCTTCATACATCCCGATGCCAGCCTCATCAATGGCGGCCGTGCTGCCAGTGCTGCAGTGGCCACAAAGCCCAACAACAAACAGTTCTCACAGCTGGAGGCTCAGCCCCCGCCCCTGGAGGAGGCGCACGCCAGCTCCCCGCCTCGCGATAGAGTCGAAATTAAGATTGTGATGCTCAAAGTGCAGGTGATTCGTTCGATTCAGTTTGAGATAATATTAAGCTTCGGTAACAATTTAATCCGCGCCACTCACCTCACCTGAACTCAACTCAATTCATTTTAGCCCACAAAAAATGATTGCAATATGAACTTAATTATTCAGTTAATATGCCAGGTCAAAGGCTGTTGAACCCAGCGCTGTTAACGGCGAACGAGCAACAGTTCAATGAAGTGTTTAATTAGAAATTAAGCCGTTTATTCTAGAATTAGTTGACGTTTGAAATTTTTATTTTTTCTTTACATTTTAACTGTTTTTAACATGTAAATGTACTATAAGGGTTTTATTATCTATTAAAATGAAATTTAGTTGCCTTAAAAATTCTAGGGAAAACAGTCTAACAGTTATGCTGACCAAATTTTTAAAAATTTATGCCAATTTTCCTAGTAATATGAAGATAAATTTTAGTACAGTCAATATTCGCCAATATAATTAAAGTAAATATGTGCATTAAATTAATTATTCATTTAATAAGAAATATCTGGCATAATCTCATCTCGGTTGAGCTTCGATATGCTTTTAAGAGATGCCTTAACTTGGCCTGCCTTGCCGAACAAACTATGTTATATTCATAAATCTAATTGTTGCCTTAAAGTTGCGCTGCTTTGTGAAAATATAATTGAAAGTCACAAGGCAAATCCTCCCTGAAAATGGCTACATAAATATGTAAAATTATACACACATACATAAGCACACATACATTTAGTTAATGCTATCTTTGATATACAATATCTTAAAATAAATGAGAATTACCTGCTGCAATTTGGCTTGACTGCAAGTGAAGCTGCAAGTTTATAGCTAAGCTCAAGGATTTCATTTGAGTCGAGTTCTCTTTGGCAATGTCAGGCAAATGACAGGGTGAGCTCAGCGCAAGGATAATAACTAGCATGGAGCAAGTGACACGCTGGTAATTTGCTCTCTAATTGGCAACAAGCCATTTGCAAGGAGCAACACGTGGCAAGTCTTAAACTCGGTAAATTGGTGTAAAGAAAACTTGGCCATCAACTTCAAATGTTTCATACGCTGCTCTTCTTTTCGTTTATGCAAAGTAAAACAATAAATGTTTGGCGCAAAGAAATTGCGGATCACGTGGCGTATACGCAATGTGTAATCTAATTTGCGAGCAGCACGTGGCATGGGCAATTTGTTTTTATATGCTCACCCAAAAACAAAGTCAACAATTACAATGAAACATTGTTGATTTGTTTTAGCTTGGAACAACAAATTTAATCAGGAAGTAAATTATAAATAAATAAAAACAAATAAAGAAAACTTGGATTCCAAATATAAATTGGAATAAATGCATGAATACACGCTGATTGCTCAGCAAAAGTAAATACGAATTAAATAAGTTAATACAACAACAGAATTTGCTTGAGTCTAGTGTTCCCTCTGAAAATGAAATATTAAAATTTAAAATTCATATTCGAGGAAAACAAAATTCGAATTGAAGGTTTTCAATAAATGCACGGGTATACGAATTAACGGGTTCGTTTATTTATTTATTTCCAGGAAAAGGCAAGGAAAAATATTCGTATGCTCATTTTGCGTATATCTATGTACATATACATTATGTTGCTATAATAGAGCTTCAATTATTGCTTTCTCTGCGAATTTTTCGAGTTCGCTTAAAAATTCTAGTGAATTGTGCTTGAAGCGCGCTTGATAACTGAAAACCCAATTTATGAAAACTAACTAACTAAAAATTAAGTGCAATATAAAAATGAATTTTATATGGCTATACATACATAGTATAATAATTATATAACTTAATTTTTGTTCTCTGCATAAATCTTTATCTGCTCTAATTATCTTTGGCATCTAACTTTATATTTCACTTAAATTCTCCATATTTAAAAGTTATCTGAATGCAATAATTTTAGGTAAAATCTCAAATGATCATTAATTACTTGTTATCATTTGAGTTTATTGACATGTGGAATGGACATTCGTTTCCTGACCGCCTGAAGGCCATTGTCAAGGCCAAAGGTGAAAGCTTTCAAAGCGAGCCAAGATGAATTGGTTATGAATTATTATTTTCATTATTATTTACACTTTCGTATGAATTGCAATTGTTTTCCAAACCGAATAGGCTAGGCTCAGTAGATATGTTGCTAAAAGTCACGAACGGCCGACTTAGTAAATCGGCAGTAATTGCGCTGCCAGAACTTCATTGATTAAACTTTCCGCAACTAATCAAACGAGCTGAGTTTGAATACTTTACTTTATGCTTCTATATAGAATATATAGCATAAGTTTTGCGCACAGGGTACGGGGTACCCGGTACGGGCTAGAGCATATAGTTTGTTTCAACTGAAACTTCTCTGGCTATTCGAGATCCTATTTGTATCCACGCAAGGCACGCAGTGACACGTGCGTTAACTGGGATCCGTTCGTTTGGCTTTAGGCCGGGCTATTTGCAAATTGTTTGGCAAATCGTTTTATTCCCAGCGGAACGGCGCTTGAGGGGCCTCTCTTTTTTTTTTGCATGCTCATAATAGATAGAAATTGTTGGGCAACACGAAACGCAATTTGCATTTAATCGAATCAATGTAAATAATTTGTCAACAGTTAGTTTTGTGTAGTTGCCATTTATATATGGCAATCGCAAGCCAACAGAAACTGTACAAAGCCAGCAAGGGAGGAGACCTTGAATTTGTATCTTCGGGGCAACTTCAAAAGCTTTAAACTTCCATTTTGGGTGGGCGGAGGGACAGCACGGAAAGTGAAAAGCAGCTCGCCGAGCTTCGGGGTGAAATTGAAACCTTGGTCATGAATGGAGCCAAGAAAGTCAAGCAGTGCCTGTCTGAGGGTGGGGAAAAGCTTTCGTCAACGCGCCAAGGGCTCGGGAAAACTGCAAGGGAAAGCCGAACCCGAAGCGTATTGCGTCGCGTTGAGCTTTTAGCCGCATTTCGTTAGTTCAGTTGCGCGTAGGCCGAGCTGCAGTACGAATCGACGATTTTGGCGAACGGACGGCAAAATGTCCAAAGACGTTTTATTACCACCTAAACTTAAGCGCCATCACTCCAAAAAGAACTGGCCTAAATTCAGGGAAATCAAAATAAAATAAAGCAAATTCCAAACACTTCGAACCGGTTTCAAAATGGGAAAAAGCATCATGAAAATATTGCAACAACAACCTGTTTAAATACTCTCATTAACAATCCAAATAAATCAGTTGCTATTTATCACAAATCAAAAAAAGAAGAAAAATGAAAAAAGCAAACCCCAAAATGTTCGTTCATGCGGCGCTAACCCAATAAGTTGAAATATTGCGCATACGCAGCGCTGTGCAGCATCAGTGACATTATTTTCAATTTGATTTGAGTGAATCGTTTCAAAAAAACAATCAAATTGCAATAAATTGCCTTAAAATAACTCCGCCAAGAGCCGCGAGCACTTGTTATGCAAAACGGAGAAATCAACAGTCAACTCGAAAGAACGTAAACTTTTTATAGCATCAAGGCGCAGCTGTGGCCACATTTTGTGTGTGTTTGAGTGGGCGTGTATTGGGGTTGTGTGTGTGTGTGTGTGTGTGTTTGTGTGTGCGTGTATGTTTGAGTGTCAAAGTGCCGCCGTTTGGTGGCAATGCCGCTTATAATTGACAATTTAACGAGGTAAAAGGCGCGCTTCCAATTGCCGGCCGCCTTTCACAATGCCCACAAACTTGAAGAGCGCTAGCGGTGGCAGCAACAGAAACCAAGTTGCCAATGGTCATGGCCAAGGTCTGCTCGACAACATGACCACCGCCAACTGCAACAGCAACAGCAATAGCAACAGCAATAGCAACAGCAGCAGCAACAGCAGCAACAGCAGCAGCAGCAGCAGCAACAGCAACACCAACAACTCCAATTGCGGTGGCATAGGCAACGGCGCATCCAGTGGCATCGGCAGCAGCGAAAATTCGACAGCCTCAGCTGCTCGCGGCGATGAGAACAAAAATGCAGCTACCGATGCCGATGACGATGGGGATGGTGACGGTGGCGGGGATGATGAGGACGATGATGATGACGACGACGACGATGATGAAGATGGAAGCGCGGTATTTTACTTTAACTAACTATTAAGTCTCTGTGAACCCCTTCTACCTCTCTCTCTCTCTCTCTCTCTGAGTATATATATAGAGTCATAATTAGAAAACAGCCAACAAGACAATTTGTGCGGTTAGAGCAAAGTTGACGTGTGCTGCTCCCACAGCCAAAGATTAGATTATGAAGCTCTGGCGCCGCCATCTTTAAGCTTTGGAGTGCATGCCCAATGTCTTAGGGATAAGCTTTATGAATGCGGTTTATAAGCTAAGCCGTTTAGAAAAGCCGATAAGCAGTCTTTTTTGATAAGTGAAATTTAAAATAGGCAAACATTAGCACATAAATATATATTACAATCGCTTAGAGCTTAAGCGACTATGGAGTAGGCTAATGAAATAATGGAATATATAGATTTTATACATAATCTATTATTACAGGGTATCTGCAGGTCAATTGTTTTTAGCAAAAACTCATTTGGTTGCGTTTTATACCTGCATGATAGCTAACAGTCAATCAAATCTTGTTAAATAATTCATGAAATTATATGCACGACATATGCGAATCGCCGTGCTCTACTGCCCGGAAAGCCCACCCGGACTAATGAACTTTAATGAGACGCGTTGCGCCGCGAAAATTCGCACAACTGCGACAGTTTTTGGGCAATGTTTATAAAGCTGACCCCGGCAATAAATTCAAATGGTGTCTGCTTTACACTCTCATAAATAAATAACTGCCGAATCACGCGTGTGTGCTGCGACGTTGTTTGTCGTTACTTTGGGCAAGGATATCTAATGCTGACATCTAAAGAAATAAATTGTTTTTTTCTCATATATATATTCTTTTGTTTGAGCTCCTGCCTATACCAAATACCTCCACTCCCCACGGGATTTCACAGGACAACGCAGCTGCTTTGAGTTCTTAATTAAAATTATTTAACTCTAG